TCGCGCAACCTATCAGACAAGTGTCTGGCACCTCACGCCATATTTCCGTTGAGGTTCAGTCTGCAGTATATTGCCTCTAATTTTTGCATATGAACTCGGATTGAGATGATTTATATATCAAAATCGATTGCCTCGACGAGACGAAGACAATTTCTTAAGAGTGCTCCTTTATCCGAGGTCATCTTGAAGACGTGATTGGCCAAAAACCACTCGGAACATTGAACTATGCCACTCGGAGTATAGTTTCGGTCCGTAAGATAAAGTCGAATGAATATAAACGAAACATCAAAGTGGTTCCACTCGGTGGCGTGAATATTTTTATGCTGAAAACTCATTCACTCGAAACCATCTTCATTGCAATCTATATCTTGCTAAAATCAGGTGTCAACAGACGAAAACATTCAACAAAAAATAAACAAGAGTTTAGCGATGTACTAATTAATATTAAAAAATCAATAGGTCATAATAATGAAGTAATGATTTGTTTTTGGCACATGAATAATGATTTACTTTGTTGTATTGAGCGGAGGAGATTTCCTATACGGAGAAGAGTCACTAACATATGCAAACTTCTAATGCAAAAGGTATATATTGAAATTTTTGAGGGTGCTGTTGCATTCTATCGCTCTAGTATTCTCTCACAAAAGGTTGAGTGGGGGTGGCATGCGATGGGAGAGAGTAGGGCATGCGCAGGTTCGGCCCTGGCGGCGCGAGCACGAGGATACAGTGTGAAAGTTTTTCTAGCTGAGTGTGGGTAGTTTTGGAGGAGGATGTACCTGGTGGAAGGAGTGGAAGGTGTGCACCGGCGTTATATTTGGCTAATGTGTTTTCTCAATTACATGATATATGGTGTCATGATTTATTTCCTAATTAAGGTGTAATTAAGATGAAATGATTCCTATTTTAGTGTTCTGACGATTATATGTGATGTGATGATTTGTTTCCTAATGAAGGTATACTTAAGGTGCAATAATTCCTAATTAAGATATTATGGAGATGGTTAAAATTAATTAGTAAATATGTGAATTTGATGTGATACAACATTGTGACAATCTGGTCCATTGATGAATGATGGATATGTGGTTGAGATCTAATATTTCTGCCTCAACTCGTTTGTTTAATAGTAGTGGAGATAAAGACCGCTGCTACCCATCAAATTCATTTGAATCTACCAATACGAAAACACGTGGCATAAGCAAGTTTGCCTAAACTTCGGTTGTGTTCGATCAAAACGTTGACCGAACCGAATTTTTGGTTCAAATAAAAATTGGTTTTCTAATTGTATAGAAATCGATCGGTTTGTATTTTTATACTAGTAAATTGCACGTGCTTTGCACGTCGGCATAAACCAAAACAGGAAACATATTAAAAATGACCTTTATTAACTCAAATATATGTAATTGCGATGGGATGACTAAGAATCTAGGTTAATTTTCTTCATCTATAAATTTTTTGCTCTTCTTTTGTTATCTCCATTTTTTCACTAACGTCAAGTTTTGCTAGTCCCGAAAGATTTTTTTTCTCTCTTTCTTTTTTCTTCTTTTGCTGAGACCTAATATATTTAAAATGTGCTCTAGTGATACAGGCTAATCTCGTTATTGTTGCTTGCATTAAGACTGTTCTGATTCTTCAGGAAAACATGACAACATCAAAACAAAAGCAAAAATGGAATATATGTGAAAAGTTGTTCTGCTGAAAAACGTACCCTTAGAACTTTAGGAAGTGAATTAGTTAAATTTTACCATGCAAAAAAAATTAGTTAAATTTCTTGGGCAACAATATTGTATAGTTATCTGTACAATTTTCTTTTGTAACTTTCTTTACAAAAAGTACCAAACATATTAACTAAAATTATAAAAAAAATCTGTTGTAAGTTGATAAGTCTGTATTGCCATTGCTAATTGTACTGGTTTGGCTCACTGCAGACTGGACAACACTATCACTCGTATCATGATTTTGCCTCCTACTCCATTTGTACTCACAGTATCTTTCCAGATAGACATCTTGCTGTTCCGGAGTCACACGTGAGTATCTTTCCCTGTTATGATAATGCTCTTCTCCACAGAATTCGTTGGCCGAACACCTCTACGTTTAACGGAATTCGTGGGCAGTGGATGGATTTATTGAATGATGAGTTCTACCAACAGAATGGGCCATAGATTGACGAAAGTTTCGTGCTGAAGTGAATGCTGGGAGGCACCCGCGAACAGTGGCAGAGCTGATTTTTAGTGAAAAAAATAGGCCTAATACTAAGGGGAAAATGTAAAGCTTTGTGGACATAAACAAAAACACTTGGTGTTCAGAAAAATATGTACCTGTTTTCCAACATATGAGGGGATGAGCTGCGGTGGTCTGAGCCATCGCACCGGACAAGAGTCGAGAAGAGATATTTTTGTCCGTCGGGATCGAGATGGTTCTAGTTGCGCTGGGTGGCCGGGCGACAACCTTTTACCCATATCCACGTGGAAAGATCTCGTACAGCAGAGGACTTGATCTGACGGCCAGTAACTCTCAGATTGGCTCATTCCCAGCCGTCTGATAGAGCAAATCTGACGGACAGTAAGTTATTCCCACACTATATAGGAGTATAGAAAACCTCTTTATGACATGATAAACTGAACCGATCGCATAAATTGGACAAAAAAACTCACGAATTTGATAAAAGTTTATGAAATTAAAAAAACATTCATTCGTTTGAAAAAAGTTCACGGATTCAAAAAATAAGTTTTGTGGATTTGAAAAAAGTCCAAAAATTTAAAAATATGAAAAAATAAAAGATAAAAAGAAGAAGAAATAAAGAAAAATGAAAAAAGAGTAAAATCAAAGAAAAAAGGGGCAAACAAAAAGAAAAAAGAAAAATAGCAACAAGAATATAAGAAGTAACTTGGCACGACAAGTGAGTTGTCCCAATTGGTTATAGCTGGTGAAAGTAAACCAAGAGGTCGAGAGTTTAAATCATATCTCATGCACCTATTTTTTGAGGTTAAAAAAAAGAAAAGAAAAATAAATGGGCCAGGTCCAGGGTGGAAGTAAAAAAGAAAAAGAAAACATAACAAAAAACATAAAACAAAAACCAGAGTAAAAACTCATGAAAAACCTGGCCAAACAAAAAATAAAAATAAAAATAGCTTCCGGAAGGCATATAAAATAAGAAGAAAAAGAAGTATTGCTAAACATATTGGGCGAGTTTTTTTTTTGAGGGGTACATATTGGGCGAGTTGGTTTCTCTGTTTGAAGAAAACATAGAGGTTCCGAGTTCAAATCTTACCACCCACGTCATCTTTTGAATCTTTAAAAGATGAAAATGGTCCAAGCCCATGATGAGGGGGGCGTGCGCTCCATATAAAATCACTTGAAGAAGCAAAAATATTCCTCCACCCGCTCCGTTTATGAAAAGTTGAGTCAAAAATAGTCCTCCACCACTCATATAAAACCTTTTTTTTAGGGAGCCTCTTTAATTTTCCCAAACTACCCTCACATTTAGGAGAGATGACCCTCCCCTACATTTTGGTGGGCTGAAACCGCCTGAACTGACATGGGCACTCCTTCGTTGCCGGGCCGCGCCACTACTCCGCCACCGGCCGTGTGGCCCGCCCGCCTCTCCACTCCTACCGGCCGCCTCGCCAAACCTTTCCCGGGTGATCGCACCTTCCATTTCTCCAAAGACATGAGGGACAACTTGTTTTGTGGACCAGTTTTCAAAAGAGGAATAGAAAAAAATATTTTAGAGAAATATG